GTAATTCAAGCATAGCAATCAATTACTTTATTTCGAAGTATATTTAAATAAAAAACATCGAAGTTATAGTTTTTACATACATTTTTCGAATTGTTCCTATGCTACATGATATTGGACTTATGTACATTCTACCTGCAACATAATAGCTTTATACTTTATAGCTTTATACTTTATTCACTTTAAAGGGTGTGAAATGTGCCCTTCCCTGCGTTGCAAACTTCAAGCTGAATTTATGTCACCCTCTGCAAGGGTATACAAACACGAAAACGAAAACAAACAAGAGGCCGCAACTTCGAAACATATATTTGTTGTCTTTTTTCGCCTGCCAACTAATTGCTATTAATAAAAAGAAACAGCTTCCAGCGCGATACCAGCAGGTGGGACGCTATTAGGCGGCATCTTGCCATCTTGCCATCTTACCAACTTACCAACTTGCCATTCAGGCCTCTTGTGTGGCCCGCTGGATGGAAAGCTCTCCGGCTCCGATCGGAATGGCCAAATGCCCGTACACAATGGGCCCTTAGTATACCTGCATCTATCCTATACTTTACTTTACTATACTATACCATACACTCTTGTTAGCCCAGATGTGGAAAGTCAGCCCAATCCAGTCCGAGTCCCATTGTCTGGCGAAAAGAGAGGAAAGCTGGTTAGCCAAATGGGAGCTCATCTGTGATTATGTTTTTATGGGGCTTCCCACACCTGTTGATCGGAGGACGGCATTCGGTATTTGGTATTTGGTGTTTGGTGTTCGGAACTCGGAATTCCGCGGGGCAAACTTCGCACGACTCGGCGCTGCAAAACCAATATATACAGATGCACATTAATTCAAATTTATTGCATTAACAGCCACTAATTGTTTGAGCTGCCTGCAATTTAACACGCGCGAGCACGGACAGCGCAAACTCATAAAATGGTGTTTGAGTTTGACGAAAGGCAAATACTCTGATATAGAGGATAAATATATTGGTTTTATATGGCAAACACAACGATATAAAATTAAAAACATTTTGCCGTTAAAAAATGCAATCCTTAAATATCTCATTAAAATATGGCAGTACATGGCATAATAAAATGGTTGCTACATAAGCTTGCTTATTAAGAAAAAATTCCTTTTTCTTGCTGCCATAAAAAAGTCATTAAACTTTAATTGGAGTTCACATTTTTAGCTCTCCAATAAAAAAAAGTTCACCTGGTTTTCGTAATGGTTCAATCCATGCCATTTAATGGTAGTTACTAATTGTGTGCCAATATTTTCAATCTCTAGAATTTAATAAGTATTTCCCTGTACCAAAATAAATACTTAATTTTATTTTAAAATAGAAAGCCAAATTTTAATTATCTGCTAAATTTATTTTAAGTATCACTAAGGAAATAAATTTACTTTGCTTTATAAGACGTAATAGCCCCATAAACGTGGTAATTAGCCGAAAAGTATAAAGTACACATTAAAAATAAAAAAAAACAAATATTAAAGTAGCCACCACGAAAAGGTGAGCTAGCTTGGAGTCTAGCAAACATCTCCGGAGAACTTTCGGTTCCAGTCGGGTGGCCAAATTAAGACCCGCATGACAAGTACATTAACCCTAGACAGACGCCAAAGCAACAACATTTGCTTTCAAAGTTTGCCAAACTAATTACCCTTGAGCTTCTGTGCAGTCACAAGTTTGTTACGCAATCGATGGCGAAAATTCCCCTTGATAAAGACGTCGATGGCTGAGTCCCCCGGCAGTTACTCAACTTGAGATGAAATAACAATAAAACAATTAATTATATGGGCATCGACAAAGTCAAATTGCCAGTCTGCAAGAGTCTCTTTGTTTGACAAAAGCCAAGCAAAACAGTTCGCATGGGCGGCGAATGCATGTGGCAAGCGTTGCCGTTGCCATTTGCCATTTGCCATTGAAATTGCCATTGCCACTGTCAGTGGCAACTGCAACAGCAACAGCAACACACAAGCCATGCAACAGCAACAGAAACATAAACTTGGAGATACAGGAAACACACAACAGCCGAGGCAATAGATAAATTTGAGCAGCAGCCGCAGCAGCATCAGCTTGGAAACGTGCGACTCGAGTTGCTGCTGTGCAGCAACATTGGTAGGAGCAACAGCAACATCAGCAGCAGCAGCAGCAGCAGCTGGCTAACCACTTGAAGCACTTTCGTTTTCATCTGATCGTCAGTCGGGTGGAAAGCGCCTGTTGTTACCACCATGGTTTGTTTTTGTTGTTGTTGTTGTTGGTGGTAATGTAATGCGCGCATCTTTAAGATACGCTGCATTGTAGTTGCTGCTGCTGGCATGCAAATGCTGCCCGATATCGATCAGCTGCGTGGTAGTGGAGTTTGCCAGCCCACCATTTGTCTAATTGTCGAGTTTCTCGAACTCTAGCAGAGCATCCGCCGATCGACAAGCAGGCACATGTTGCTGTTGTTGTTGCTGCTGCTGCTGCTGCTTCTGCTGCTGCTATGATGCAATTGCCATTGAATAACAGCGACAGGCGGCAGCAACGGCAGCAGAGAAATTGCAGTCCCTGCTGCACACTCGACCACATTCAAGGTCCCGAACTTCGATTTCTCCCGACTCCGTGTACAACTCCAAGTGATCTACGTGCCCAGTTTGTCTGGCCTGACCAATTGGTACGTTGCCGTCTTGACCCGCAATGCTTCCGTCGATTGTCATCGCTCATCGGGGCTCAGAGGCATGCGTAAAAACTTATTTTCCTACTGGCTGTCTTACGATTTCAATTAAATGCCAAAGCACACAGCCATTATTGTTATTATTTTTGCAACGCGACGGGAAAGTTCCCATCAGTCGCCGCCGAACGGGGAACTTTTCTTCAAATTGTCTTCGATTGGGCAAGCGATTTTCGGATTTCGGGTTACTGATTTTGATTATCCGGTGGGTATGAGTATGGGTATGGGTATGGGCACTACAAGTTCGTCAGTCATCGTCAAAGGCGCCTGTTAATTGAACAACAACAGCAAATGCCGAACAAATGCCAACGCCCACCACAACAAATTGACAGGCTACGTCTTGGCTTAAATGATCAATCGACTGCACAAACAAAACTTCCCCAGTCGTTGCAGTTGCTGTTGGTTGTTGCTGTTTGTTGTTGCTGCTGCTGCTGCTGCTGCTGTTGCTCTTGGTGGTGTTGCATTAACAACTTCCCCATTTGCTTTGTATATGTTGCTGTGGTGCAGCAACAAGTAACATGACTTATGAGTTTGTGCATCAACACGGAATTCGAGTCGTTGTAGTTGCTGCTGCTGCTGTTGCTGCTGTTGCTGCTGCTGCTGCTGTTGCTGCCGCCTTCGTCGCTTAATGAAAACGAAAGTAACTCGCTCTCACATACAGAGACTCACTTAAACCATCGGATCGGGCAGCCACACGCCACATCATTCACTCTCGGTTGGGGGCAGGCCGGATTTATGCGCATATTTTAAACTAATCGCAATTAAACTAATCACTTGACATCTTACATTGAAATAGGCGTTGAATGGCTGCTGCCCGCTAATTACTCACTTAAATGGCACACATAACCAGCGTGGAGTAGGGAAAAATTCACTCCAAATGCCGCAATGACACAAACTGGCATTCGGGCGGCAATTAATGGGTAGCAGGCAGATCGAATAGATCGCATGCCATATATAACATACGGGACAATCCAATGTTGCACGACCTATGCGGCCCGTTCGCATTCAAATGAGATTAGATAATTGGTGGAATCGCTCAGGCGGCGACACGAATGCAAGATCAAATGGCTGGCCCTCTTATCCAACTATATCGTTTACAGCCAGCGAGCTTATTCTAATGTCAAAATAGAATTCGCAGTCATCAATAGTTTCCTCACAGCAGAATCGCTCTATAGGCATGCCAAAACGAAAATAGAAAAAATAAATAATTATGGTAATGACCCACTTGTATGACTTAATTTTGCAATAACAACAGTTTTACATTTACTTGGCAGATACAATGCCCTGCTCGCATGCAATCAGCACTTTAAGCTCGCTACTTGTTTTTTTTAAGTATCGGGTTAAGCTGCCATCTACTCAATGGATCGTAATCAAAAGATTACAAAACCACTTGGGGTAATTTACCAGCTCTTATAAAATGCAACATTTTATTTTGATCGTAATTTTAATTATTAATATTTCTTTCAAGCTGCTGGAAATAACACGTTAAAAAATAAACCAATCATGTTAATGACCCTCTTGTTTAACTAATTTACTAGTTTCACAATGACCCAAGCTAATAACTTAAGACTTATGTTTGAAAACTTTTAAATCAATAAAAGATAAATATAAAATAATATACTTTTATTTTCATATTTATAACTTTATCAACTTCCCTACCATTTTTCAAGAATTTCCCAATAATCAACTAAGGTTAGTTTTTTAGTTAAAAACTGAAACTCGCACATTAATCACAAACTCAAAAGTAGAACGTTTCAAATGTTAAATCAATGTTAAGCCATTGAAAAGGTAACAAGTTAAATTTTAAACAGGAAATAAATGTCAAAACAAAGTTTTACTTATGCGTTCATCGTTGTTATACATAATCATTGACGAATATGCAAATGAACTTGAAGTTATGAAATCATCTGGGCTATTCAGGGCCTGGGTCGACATTAGGCCTTATTTATAGCCCAAGTAAAGCTAAATAATCACTATTTGCTGCCTAATTTATTGTCTTGCACTGCCACTTTCCACGGTAAATGATTTCCGTGGGTTGAGTCGGGCCAACTTACCCTTTTTCCATCGCCATCTCAGCTGGCCATCATCTGTGTGGCTTTTGATTGCCCCCCAACGTCCCGCTGTCTTTTCACTTTCGTTGGCTCGGCTACGCTTTTGTTGTTGCTGCTGCTGCTGCTGGAGCGCGGGGGCATGCCACACCGCCGCTGTCGACGTCTCCGTCGCCGACGACGTCTGCGGCGCCGCTCCGCCATCGAAACGGTAAATGTTTGCTGGCAAACCCGAGCAGAGCACAGTTGCATTTTGGCGCTCGTCCCCAGCGATTCGCACTCGCACCTGGCGCCAAGTAAAGAGCCAAATCAAAAGCCGTCAAAACACCAAACTCCGCTGGTCGCGCATGCGCACGCGCTCAAAGAAATCGAAACGAAATCGAAAAGCAGCCAAAAAGTGACCGTTATTACCGTACAGCCCCTGCGGCCCAACCAGCATCTAAAGTCGTTAGGCTACATTACATAATCGAGATCGAGAGTGGAAACTGCTTCTTTTTGGCCAAAAACTGAAAACTGAAACGGCCAACTTCTGCGCACAATTCGCCATGTCGACGCCGCCCAGCCAGCGGACTAATTAATGCGCGCTCGTGGAAAGAAAAGCAAAAAAAGCGAAGCTGGGAGACCTCGTTAATTATAATACTTAAGGCCGGAAAAAAGCGCTTGGCCCGAGAGCCGCGAACCGCCTCCGTTCCCAGTTCCCGGTCCCCGTAACAGTCCCCCGGAAAAAAAAATAAACCCTCGACCGCCCATTCAACGGCCAGCGTGAAAGTGAAAAGCATCTGGTCATCGGCAGCAGGACAAAGCCAAAGCTACAGCCGGAGCTACAGATACAGCTACAGATACAGATACAGATACAGATACTGTATCCATCTGGAGATACATCTCCGTAAGCGGGCTCTGTGGGTCAGTCATGCGCGCGATGAGCAGCTGAGCTGCGCCAGCTGCCCGAGGAGCGGCCACCAAGATGATGAAGCCATCACAGTCACAGTCACGGTCACAGTCGCGGTCACAGTCGCGGTCACAGTCGCGGTCACACTCGCAGTGCCACTGGCAGCCCCCAGCGGCGAATGCCGCGACCTTGAGCTGGCTGTGCCTCCTGCTGCTGCTGCCCTCTTCCAGGCAGTTTGAGACGGGTAGGTCCAAAACTATGGGAAGATGCGAATATTACTAAATAAACCATTCCAAATTTTAGCAAAATATAAAACAAACAAAAAATCAAACGTAATCTATATATTAAATACTTCATACACTCTCAATCCATCTTTCAATCACAACAATCATCATAACTAGCTAAACGCTACTTGTGATAACTATTCTCATACTAGAGTATTTCTAATTTAAATTAAATAATACCGGTATTATTTAATATAACATAACAAAACCATTTATATCATATTACAAAATGTCCACTGGCATAACAACCAATAAATTTTCATTTGCTTATGTTTTCTGTTAACGCTTCTATAATAATATGTTAAAATAAAAATAAAAATCTTGTAAACAAAGCCAAAGTCATAGACAAGATTGATCGATCTCTATTGATATTTCAACACCTCAAATTTAAATACTACTACGAGACGTGACGAAACTATTAATCAACATTTTAAGGCCTTAAGTTCACCTTAACGATAGTGTGAATTAGTTGACAGAACGAGAAGTTATTTAACGTTTTAAAAGCAATTTATCAACAAAAAATTATATTAATTATATATAAAAAACGTAGCTTTTTAAGTACCTACAATTAGAGAAAACGGCAAAGTAAAATGAAACATTAAAGTGTAAAGTAAAGTAAAGTGTAAATGTAACATTGTTTTTCAAAATATAATCTAACTTAAAATAAAATAAGAACATGGTAATTAATTATTAGCATATTTAATTGGTTTATACAATAGGAAAATTTTAGGTTTTTGATTTTTTTTTATTTTAAATATCCATTTTTTCATACTTACTAAAATCGAAAGTGTAACGCCCTTTGATTTAAACAAAACACCCCACGGGGGTAAATCAGAACCGAAAATATCTATTTAAAAGTGAACCTATTTGGAGTTACCATCTTTTTCTTTGAGTGTAGTTAAACGAAAATAAATCCAAGAAGAAATCCCATTTTAAATCAAAGTACTACCCAACAAATAGTTTTCCAACTTGATAAGCATAATTTGTATTGCAGACTGTGGCTGTCGACCAGCGCGTAGAGGACCGCGGATAATTGCAGGGGCTGCCACAAATGAGGGCCAGTTTCCCTGGCAGGCTTCCCTGGAGCTACTGCATCCATCGCTCGGATTTCTGGGCCATTGGTGCGGGGCGGTGCTGATCCATCAGTATTGGATACTCTCCGCCGCCCACTGTGTTCACAAGTAAGTCGATAAGCATAAAGTGCAAATGTTATATATAATAATTTAATGCATTACCTAGCGATCTCTTCAACCTGCCCATTCCGCCGCTGTGGACGGTGGTCTTGGGGGAACACGATCGCGACGTGGAATCGGGCAACGAGCAGCGCATTCCCGTCGAGAAGATCGTGATGCACCACCGCTACCACAACTTCCGGCACGACGTGGTGCTGATGAAGCTCTCAAAGCCGGCGGATCTCGCCAGGACCTCGAACATCCGGCGCATCTGTCTGCCCTTCCTGTTGGCCGAATCTCCGGATGCGGCACTTTCGGAGGCAGTGCCCCCATCGGCCGATGAGGACGTGCTCCTCCAGCAGCTGGAGCTGGATGATGTGCCCGCCAAGATTGACAACTTCCTGCGCAGCGTCCAGAGCCGAAGGCGCTACAGGAATGTCACGGCTCCCAGCATGAAGGAGCTGATGAACATGAAGATCCTCAGCAGGATGCGTCAAGCGCTGGCGCAACGCTCTCCGCGCAGCCTGAAACGCTCGCGAAGACGCAATGACAAGCTCATGAAGCTGGGTCCTCGGAGGAATTCAGAGGACTCTGCAGAGCAGAAGCACCTCAAGCTCAGTGAGGAGCCCAAGGAGTTGGCCTTTGAGGACTGCGTGGCCACGGGATGGGGCAAGGCCAACATCAGCGGTGATCTGTCCAATCAGCTGCTGAAAACTCAGGTGCCACTGCACCAGAATGGCAGGTGAGTGACCTATCAAATACTTAACGCTGCAAATGTTTAAGCTCTTTCCATATATATTCGATCATATTCTATGATTTGGAAATGGTTTTTACTTTTATGACTTTCAATTAATTGGCTTACTATTTTGACCCTTATTTGCTTACAAGGGGGTAGGGTTTTTAAATTTTATATATATATATTTTTTTGTTTTTCTTAATTTTTAATCAACAATCGATATGACAGTCTCATTTTTTATTTTAAAATAATAAAAACATTGAAATTTCTTGTCAAAAATCGTAATAACCATTTGAAAGCAGTTTGATCTAATTTTAAGACAAAAAAAACAAAATCACAGAAGTAATCCCTATTTTGGCCCTTAAAACCCGACGGTGAAACATTTTCTTAGTCAACTTTGGATTTACAACACCGAAATCTTTTAGCAAATGATACCTCCATTAATGTACACTTTTATTGGAGCAGTGTTATTGATATAATTAATGTATACATTTGATCTTACCTCTTTGCAGGTGCAAGGATGCCTACGGCAGCTTCGTGAACATCCACGGCGGCCATCTGTGCGCCGGCAAGCTGAACGGCGAGGGCGGCACCTGTGTGGGCGACTCCGGCGGACCGCTGCAGTGCCGTTTGAGTCGCGACGGACCCTGGATCCTGGTGGGGGTCACCTCCTTCGGTTCGGGCTGTGCGCTGGAAGGCTTCCCCGATGTGTACACCCGCACCTCGTACTACATGAAGTGGATCGAGGACACGATCGCCGCCCACTGAATCAAGGACTACACATATAAACATATAGTACATATAGCTATCGACCTGTATTTATCGAGTGCAAGCTCAGCTGTACATTGCTTACTGTTACCACTTTAAGTGTAGCCCTAGCTTATTGTTATCATTATCGTTAACTAGTACGTAGGCACGGACGTTCCCTAAGTTGTTTCCGACGAGCACAATAATTTACACCGAATCTTAAGCCTAAATATCACAGTGTTGCCCCTTCTTGAGTTGAGGTAAGCATTCCGATCCAAATTCGATCCTGGGTTACGCCTTGACCAGCTTGGGCTTGAAGCTGCCGGCGCCGAAGAGCAGCTGGAGCTGCTCCTCCGGCTCCAGCGGAAGCGAAGGCTTCCGCAGCCCGCTGGCCAGGCTGAGGCCAACGCCGATCAACTGCACGGCCGTGCCCCGCTCCGCCTGGTCCACCTTCTGGAACTGCTTGGTGGGGGGCCAGAAGCAGAGCATGAGGGCGCTGCACAGTTGGTAAACGCCGGCCAGCAGCATTCCCAGGGCGGCGCTCCACTGCAGCAGCGGGAAGCCCCACTTGATGCCGTGGATGAGCAGCCGCAGGCTCAGGCACAGCACGTCGATGTTGAGGTCCACCCACAGCAGCGGTAGGATCATGTTCTCGAAGGGCGCCATCATTCGGTTGAAACTCACCTTGCCAACCACCTGGTTGGCCTGCAACCTCAAATGGGTGCCCTGCATCGGAGCTCCCAGTTGCTGGAACACACAAGGTATAGTTAGTATAAGTAGACTTGGGTTGCCTTTGACTTGGCCTACCGGTTGGACCACGAAGGTGGAGGTGAAGCGCGACTCGTTCGGCTGGAGCCCTTCAAATGGCTCCAGCAAACTGGGATCGGCGTGCATAAAATGCGGATACGTAATGGCTAAAGGAATATCTAAAAAGGAAACAAGCAAACCAGTAAATAAGAATGCTCATTTGGTTATATTTCAAGCCACAAGTACTCACTGTAGTAGCAGGGTGAGACGCTGCCAACGCCCTTCTTGAGGCAGCGATTGTTCTTGCAGTAGCACGAGGAGTTGGCGTTGTCCAGCTCGCTGTCGAAGGAGTCCGGCTCCATCACGAACTCGAAGGCATCGAGGCCATTGTAGCTGGTGGTGCGGTTGAACTTCACGGGCAGGCGGCGGCAGAAGGTGCGCCTGTACAGGAAGAACTCGTCGTTCTCGTCCATGTCCAGTGGGAAGAGGGTGGCGTCATGGCTGCCCCAGATCCGATTGCACATGGTGCCACTAACAAGTAAATGCAATTGTAAAACTTCATCCTTAGAATGGCTCTAGCGAAGCACTCACTTGGTCTCCTCGTCGTACTGCCAACGCTTGAATCCGCGCTCTCCATTGATGCTGTCCACGGTGTAGCCACGCGGAGAATCCGGCAGCTTCACCCCGTAGTTGTCCTTGCGTTCCGGCAGGTTCATGTTGAACACATTGCTCTCATTTCCCTCCCGAAAGAGCTGAAGTGGGAATCATAATTATTTGTTATTTTTAAGCTCTAATCCAAAATATATTTAAACTTTAGAAGATGAATGCATTGTTTGTTAAGGCCTAATACCAAACTAACCTTAATATGTATTAAAAGAAATAAAAACCGTAAGATTCTCACCTTCTCCATGATGCCAAAGCTGTCAAAGTCAATCCAGCTGGGCACAAAGCGAGCGGCCAGTTTCACCAGTTGGTCTTCGTAGCCCCACATGTAGTCGTGGACACTCATCTCCAGCATGGGCTGTGAGTTCAGTTGCCTGGTTAGGGCACTAAGTCCCAGGGAGGCGAACATCGACAGGCTGGAGGCCAGAGTGGTCACTCCCATCAGTGGGATGTTGGGAGCTCGGATGCGGTCGACCTTGGGATCGCCCACAGATCGCTCCGGCGCAAAGACATACTCTCGCTTAGGCGTGTAGGTGATCGTGTTGTTGGACTCATTGTAGGTGATGTTGTGGTTGCTCAAAACCTCCTTGTAAACATAAGGGCCCACCTCCTGGAGCTGCAACTTGGATGCCCTGCCCGCCGTGAACTCGTCCACATTGGTGTAGTTGAACATGTACACATTGATGTACACGTCGATGGGGGGTGAGAGCCACAGTCGGTGAAGTAGAGCACCAGGCTTCAAGCTCAATTGCTGCAAGGAAAATAATTTAGAAAAATTAGTTTCAATACATGTAACACTTCAACAGAATCATAGATCTGGCAGAACCATTGTCTAACAGAATTGAATGACAAGCATTGGCCCTCAAAAATACCTTTTGTTTAGTTCGTTTATTTTGAATTAGGTCAATAAATTGGTTGTCAATGTCCATGAACACACTTTTCTATTGATAAAACACTGAATTTGTAAGTAGTAGCGGAAACATCGGTTTTGTATCAAGAACTAAAACATAGCTATCTAAGAAATTCTGAACAAAAAACAACCATATTTGCATATCAACTAAAGCTGGCTTTATCTCAGATATCAATTAACTTAACTTGATTTATTTGAATCTATTATGATTAAAGGTTTTATTACTTTGATGTTTTTATATCGTTTGACCAATGTTATTATAAATATTAACCTAACATTGTTAACTTAACTGGGTTAGTAAGGAACTTTTATACTTTTAGCTTTAATTTGTTATAAGTTTCCAGATCGCTTGACAAAATGCACGTTTTTTGTATCGTGACAACGGCAACAATTAAGTCGTTAAAGTTACTAATTGACATGACGATAGCACACAGATAATTATTGCCGACATTCCTGCAATATTTGCACATTTAAGCCAGAGATATATGCTTACCGCATCCAGGATGCTCTGAAGTGGGTCCGCGATGAGCACCAGCGACCCGAAGAAAAGCAGGGTCATCCCGAGGGCAGCGCAGCGCAGCAGCTCTGCAATAAAATAGATCAGCGGGTGAGTTATGGTCATGCAAGCGTTGTCAGCTGAAGTTGAACTGGTTTGGCGCCGTTCCAGTTTGTCGATAGTGTGCGTCCGTGTCCCCTTCGCCCCCTCCCATCATCGTCATCTTCATCATCATGCCCATCATGCCATTGACCTTGGCGGCGGATCGGATCGGGTCGGTCGAGATCTGCGACCTACCTCAATGGCAGGAGCAGGAACATCAGCTCCAGGCCAAAATATAAACAAAACGATGACGACTGGCAGACGATGACGATGCCCAAAAACGGTGACGGTTCAATGAACGTTCTTCGATTTAATATTCGCAAAAAGCGGGGGAAGTTGATGCGTGCAATCCGAAGAAAAAAAAAAAATTCCCATAATTCTAGTTTACTGCCCTTGCTCTCAGGCATTTTTTCCGGCAATTTAAATATATTGTCTAAAATTTAAAAGCCATATTATTCGTTTATCGACGGCATTAACATGTTCGCACAGCTGCCAACTGGTTTTAGCAAATCGCCAACTTTTTAGCATAGATAAACAAAAGATGTTTGTTTAATTTATGGTTACACCTTTAATACAAGAATTTTATTTTCGTTTTCAAGTGAATTTACTAAACTGAAAAGTGAATTGCGACTGATTTCGAGTGGCTAATTGCACCAATTGGATAAGACTGCCGTTCCTAGAAATGTCGTAAATATCCAGTTCCACTGACCTTGTTTGGAATATTAATGAAAAGCACGGAAGATGGGCAAGGCAATCGAAGCGTATCAATCTAGGCTGCACTTCGCCTCACATCTACTTGAAGTGAAATCACTCACTTTACGATCGAAACTTGTTTGTTCTCACCTTCCGCGAAGATTATTGTCTTTGCCCGAACTGTGTGTTCACTTCCGCACTCGAAATCAGGCCGGAAATTGGCCAGAAGTCTGATAATCCAAAACGTGGTCGCACCCAGTCCTCCTGTGACCGATTTCCAGCGATCACGGCCGTTCAACGAAGATGAAAAAGATCACTTTCGGTGGGGGCGCTCATGCGGTCATAAATCGACCGCACAATTTTGGGCCATTTATCGGTAGAAATCGTTTAGCGAGTGCTCGCCATAAAAACAAAGCCAGAAAAACCCCCAATTGTTTGCCCAAATAATAGAAGTTTCTTTGGAACTGGAAACCGAAAGCGACGACCGATAGATACACCTGCCAAGATCAATGAACTGGCTAGAGCCCAGCACGCCCCTAACTCGCTCCAAAATGGCACGATCCCACAGCATCTGCGGCGGAGATCGAAAAGCAAACAGCATAAACTCATTAACAATTTCGCTTCGGTGTCAACGTTGGTGTCATAAATAGGTTCAAGACTTCACAATCAAAACAAACCGCGATGATACATGACAAATTATGCATGGCGTCGATCAAAACCAGAAATCCAAACATATTCCATTGATAGGAATAGCGAGCGTGCGCACAGGAAAAAAATGGGCCAACCAAACGGCGTATACAAGAAAAACATAATTTTAACTAATATTTTTTTAAATTATATATAAAGATAAATAATAAAAAAATCTTTCAGAAATTCATAAGCTGACATTAATTCAAGTTTCTAAAACGCTTAGAGACTACGGTTCAAAAAAGGCGTCTAAAGACTAAAGTCCAAGATAAATATTTTATTCATACTTATATTGGCAATAAAAAATGCATAAAATGTTAATTACTTTTGTTGATATTCGCAATAAAAGCTTTCAGCCATGCAAATATGTATATATGTATGTATGTATATTATCTTTAGGATACAACCTTTCCTTACTTTTGTTTCATGAGTTCTTGGAAAGCATTACATTTTGTGAAATTTCGTCAAAGATAATTTATTTCTTGATGAAAACGCATTTATATTGTTTTAAGGTTCAAAATGAACCTTTTTTCTCTGTGTAGACTTAGATGCTCATGCATATCCTTGCCTTGAGTGTGACAGCCGAAATTCCCGAACTTTGGGGCCCACCCATAAATTAGGCCGAACACAAAGCGGCCCAAATTATTCTGCTGCAATGGAATGACCAATGCCAAAGCCGACACGCAAAGTGGCAAAACCACACGAAAAGCTCCACGGGCTGGCAAAAAGTGGAGCTGTTGCATTGCGCAACAATTGCACCGGCCAAGCAAAGTCCGAGGCAAAATCGGCGATAGCGATGGTGATGGCGATGGCTATGGCGATGACGATGACGATGGGAAGATTGGCAGGCCAAAACACACACAAGCCACACAAGACATCGCATCATGAATGAAAGAAGCTTGTCTCGATCTGAGCGCAGCAGCAGCTGATTCAGTGAGCTGTGAACTTGTTTGCGACAGCAAAACAGCAGCCAGTCGGCAATTGCCAATCGGCAGCCAGTAGTCAGTAGCCAGCTCAATATCGGGCGGGATCGGATATATCAGTTACTAAGTACGAGCTCGTCGGCTAACGACTGACGGCTGACGGCTGCCTCTGCAGCGGTCTGAAGTTCAAGTTCGGTACAACACGCCGGCTAGTATATCGTACTAAACAAAATCAAAAAAAAAAAAAAACAAAAACAAAAAAAAACCTGCAAATTAACCCAACTCCAAGTGCTGGAGATAATATGTTTTTGACCAGTCAAAGCGTCACCGGTGGTGACCCACTGAAGTCAAGAATGAATTTGTTTTGTTTCTGACGGAACACCTTCGCCGGCTGCCAGGCAGGTGTGTGTGTGTGTGAGTGTGTGTGTGCGACTTCCGTCAAACGACAATAAATTAGGTAAACAGCAGTATGCTATAGCTATTGTATAGTATAGTATAGTGTAGTGCGACGCTGAGATTCGCGCTCGGGTATCCACAAGATACAGATACTCTGTTAGCAAGTGCCGATGCGATCCGATCGCCTAATAGTTAGTCGCCGCTGTTATGACGATGTTTGTTTGCCGCCTGCCTGTTTGGCTCTGTTTGGCTAGTGATTAATCCCAGATCCGTTGCTATTTGCTTTTAATCATCGCCAAAACCAAAAAACCCAAAACCCTTAAATAGTCGCAGTCAAAGTCTCGCGGCAATTAGACGCCCGCCAATAAGGAAAAGTAAATATGTAGCGCGCCAAGTTTACAACTTTACAACTTCCCCAAATCGCAGGCTGTGATACTGTGATACTGTGATGCTGAGATGCTGATTTTGAGATACTGATGCTGAAATGCTAAAATGCTGATCCGATTTGTTCGCCTTTGAAACGGATACTTTACACTGGCGATGATATTGTTATTGCTAATGCCCGGACAATAGCTGTTATTTGCATTGTTTAGCGGGCATTGAGCTGTAGATCGTATTGATTTATGGCGCACTGCCACAAATTAGTTGAATCGTTCTCTATTTCTCTGCAAGTCATGTTTGCGTTTCGGTTTTGGGGTTTGGAGTTGATGGGGGGATCTGTCAGCATCTTTTCGAGCTATATACCATAGCTATGCATATCATATCATGGGGCCAATCTGACCCGGACTGGGCAATCATCGCGTTCACCTTCAGTTTTCCCAGCGCATTTATGCTGATTGAAATCATCGAACTTCATGGTAAGGTAATACGTGACATTTTCAGTCACAACCGATTTCATTTGAAATCTTAATTTATGCAAACTTAATTGCACTACCGTCCAGATCCGTTAATACACATACACGTACGCTTCCGAAGACTTTGCTCCGGAATGAGCTGATAGCGAATGACTTCGCCAAAACGATCCGGAGATCAACATGTGTACGTTACACATGTATGTTTGTTCAGATACAAGCTGCTTACAATTAATCTGAGATCCGAAGTGACCCTACACAAGTGGCCTACAAAGTATAGAACCCTACGCCCTTGGCGGCTCATTTGTTATTATGCAAATCGGCCGATGTCTTGCCCCTTTTTTTTTTTTAGTTGGCTTTGAGCATATGTTAACTGCTTTGGCCGAGAGACGAGAGCCGAGGCGGTGCCGAAAAATAAAAGAGATAAAAGATAACCCTAGAAAGCACTAATTAATACAATTTCAAAAACATTTTTGTTCGTTTTCATTTTGTGTCGCTATTATTAGCTAATAGCTGTCGTGCTGCCAAAAATCTACGGACTTTAGAACTGGTCCGCTATCCAGGTATTTGCAATAAATAAAATAGTAGATACAGACGCGTGCGGCCAGCTGTCGGTATTTTGGTAATTAGCATTCTAATTTTCGCCGGGAATGTGTTTTTGGGAAATTTCGAAACCGTTTTATATCGGTTTGATTAGCATGCACACGAACGTTTAAAAATCCATTGCACCATTCCCACTAGATTGCAGCGATTTCAGCAGTTTTGGTGATTTTAGCGACTTCAGCGATTTTAGCAGTTAGTGTGCAAGAGATCTTTGTTGACGTTTTTATGATCGCGTGGGGGCAGCTACAGCTCCCTTGGCTGGAAACCGCGGTTCGAATTAACTTTTATGGGCCTTTGGCTTTGACCAATGCGGACAATGGTCCGCATGGCTTCATTAAGCGCTGGTCGCTTTGGCTTTTTTGGGCCGAATATACTCACTTGCATTGCGCTGGTTTTTGTTGGTAAATAGTTTCATTTCGGCACCTAAAAAATTTTAGCTCCGGCGCGATCTGATTTTTTTCCTATTTTTTTGCTGTTGTTTTTGAACGGGCTGCACTTGATTGAACGGCTGGCTTGCTGGCTGGTTAGTTGATTAGTTATTTATTGATTTATGACGAAAATCAATTAATTCTTGTGTTATTATTTATGACCGCAAATTAAACTATTAACAGGTCGGTCGCATTACGGATTGTGATGGGGATTGTGATTGAAATTGAAATTCCGATTACGATCGGGGAATTTGCATGGTTTAATTTGATTTGACTCGGCGTTCATATAACCGTGGTCCCATTTGCCTAATAGGTCGAGTGAGTGTTTGGTTCCTGGCGATTGTCCACCCGAGAGGAGATCCGTTCAGGGCCTAGGAGTCTGTCACTGTTGCCTGATTCTGTTGTCTGATGGCTGGTGGCTGGTGGCTGGTGACTGGGCTAGAATCTCGCTGCTTTGTCTCGAATCGAACTGAACTGTCACGCACTTCCTATTCTCACAAATTTTGACAACTTAATGCGCCGATCTCGACTGCAGCGGGGACCTTTATATGGACTCTTGGGCCGATTCCCGATCTCTCGGCCGATCGAGCGCCGAGTGTCTGGCGGAGATCGGATCGGCTAACAGCTAGCAGCCAGCTAGCTAGCTAGCTAGCACTAGCATCTCAACCTTTCTACAACCGGTCCACAATCAAGCCTCTGCTCGGGCTTCGCTCGGCTAAAATCGCGCACGTTCGCACTAGCACCAGCACCAGCACCAGCACTCGCATTCGCATGCGCAGTCGTTGGCCAAAACACAAAAACCCCAGAACCCCAAAACAGCATTAAGTAGCTTTCTGGTCCGGGGCTATGAACACCCTGGGCGAACGTTAGCATAGAACGCAGGGTGAGATGGGATGGCGTTGGCCATTGTCTCGAGCTCGCGGATCGCTTAGCAGCAAATGCCTTCCCATAAATTTAATGGCTCAAATGACTCTATTTAATCCAGCGGCCTCTATCTTGGGCACAGCAGACACGCACACGTGCCGCTGCCCTTTTTGCGGTCCCCCCCCATAAATATGCATGAAGCTTTGCCGCAATTAAAAGCCATTTCTTGACGCAATTACATCCAGTTCTGATTCTTAGCAGCCAATAACGATTAGCTTTTAACTGGCTGTTCTGATAATTATCCGTCCGCTGTTTAGCTCGATATTTATGACAGATCTGTGGCGTACCCATGCGATCGATCTAATCACGCTGACTAAGTCACTAGTCTATAGCCAATAGCCTATAGCCTATAGATAGTGACCTATTTTGCTCTACTCGACTTTATCTCTGACCCGGCGAGTCTAGTAAATATCATCTTCACTTGCCGTTCTTCCCGGTAGACATTCTGAGTCTGAGAAATGACATTTTGTGTGCTTTTATTGCCCGCCATTGTTCGTGGACTGTTGCCACGACGTCAAGCAACCGCACAGGTGATCTGATCCCGAATAAACAATGAGCTGCCTCCTAACTGCCATATGGCATGTGAGCCGCAATTTGCCATCGGGCGGCTCTTGTTACCAGGCTAATTGTTGTTTGTGTTTATGGCATCGCTGGACGTAATTATGGCATCCCAAAGTCCCATTTTTTGATGTGCGCTTTTATGCTTTCACCAAAAGTTCTCAGGGTTCTAGGTTGTGACCATAATAAAAGCTGTTCACTTGGAAGTGGTGGGTCCTGGATAAATCAAAACTTCCTTGACGAAAGGATTTCATAAATAGCATATTGATAATAAGTAGCTTAAATATCAAAACAAATAAAAGCTATTGGCCTATTATATGTTTTAAGTATAACCCACACGGCATCGCCTATAAATTTAAAATGGAATTGGCCATAAATATGTAATATAAAGGAAACCAGTTTCTTAACCAATCTCATAAATACTTGTATCCCACAAAATAGGTGTGAAGAAACCTTTTTTAAGCCAGCCATGCCGAAAAGAATTCTCGTTTAGAGCTACATTTAAAGATTTTATGAGACACACGTTTGCGAGAAACTTGTGGATTAATTAAGCGAAAAATAAAAAAAGTTATTTTCTTATTTATTATTGAAAGTCAAAGTTCGGTAAAAAAAATATATAAAATCAGCATGCGAATTTTAATTATCTTACAAAACTTTAGAAATAAGCTTGATGAAGAAATTAGCATATTTTAGTTTTTAATATGTTATCTTGAAAATCAAACAGAAATCTTTGGCATCAGGCCCTACACTAATTGGCAAAAATACGTTAAGGGAATTCTCTAAAATGTTTGATCAAGTTATTTCATTTTGAAATCCCCAACTAGAAATGGTAAAAACCATATCTATTTTTGTTCCCAATCTCCAACGTATTGCAAGTGACCCCTTACACACTCCGCAAACGCCTCTCTGCCCAAGTAGAATTCACGTGGAATACCACGGATCTGACTAACCCTTTGGATATCGATCAATATTTGCCGGATTTAGAAAACCAAATAACAACACACACAAATAGATGCAAACTTTGTTATTAAGCTGCGAAATTTTTAGGTACAATTATCATTTGGCTGCCAATGAGCCCATTGTTTGGCGACCGTCTAAATGCCAGTGGCCAAATTGGCGACCATCCTCAAGGCGAGGAAAGCCCCGAAAGTTCGAGGAGCGCATTCGGACCTCCACTGATGTGGTCAGTGAGCTAGCGAAATATTTGCCTATTTGCCCCTCTCGCAAACTATTTCGCATACATTAAACGCTCAATTATCCCAAGTAGTTTTTAACGAGCCGCAGGGGGCGGCGGATTAACGGATCGAAATTATTAACATCTACGCAAACAGCGCGTCGGGGGCTCTCGAAACAGTGCTCTCCCGAAATTGGGGGCTGGCATGCAAATGTATATATTTTACGTTATGGGCCTGGGAAAGAGGGTAACCCCCGTCATGGGATCCGGAAAACGCAGGCCGCAACTTATAAGTTGTAACTGTATAAAACAAGGCACTTTGTCGTAATTGCAACGCCGCATCAACCTAAAGCATTTGTCTGAAGCATTGGCTAGCACGATGACGTTGGCGATTTAGCACATGAGAGGTGACAAAAGCCCTGCAAAGTCGCAGCCAGCAGAACAATGAAGTGCATATACGAGGTGCTGGGAAAAACCGAGAGGTAGCCCAACTTGACCAGCTCCAGCAGCTCTCAATGCGGAATATTCGCTGGCAGAAGTCCTTGAACCAGTTCAGGGATTTCCCCGCATAGCCATTAATTTTAGCTGCAAGAAACTCTGTAAAATTACTTTCCATTAGGGTGGACTAAAAAATGCAGGCATTCGCTTAGAAAAGTGTTTTTATATAGACTAATTATATAAAGCTAAATGACTATTAAGATTCACCAACACAAAAATAACTTATACTGCACGCTAGGCAAAATTTTTGTTGACAACGTAGAAATGATTTTATGAGGTTTGTTATGAAAACAATTTTCAAACAAAACGAACAAGTCTATGGAAATTTTATTTAGGAAATTTTCATATCAACAACCATTATTTCATTTCCTCAGAAACGCAAGCAGATATAACCTTTAAGCCGTCTTGACAGCATTATCTCAATAGCAGGCTGAGTCACAAAACTAAAATCATAGCCGAATTTGTTATTTACAGAATGAAATAAAAATTAATTGGTTGTTGTGCGGATGGCGACCTTTTAGATTTTGATCAAATATGAGGGTTATTGCCGGCGCGAGGTCAGGAAAACAAGTACAAAAGTATAAGTGGAGTGTTTTTTATAAGATCAACGTGTTTTAAGAACCAAATGAAAATTATTTACAAAGGTCCTTTGACAAGATATTAGTTTGAATTTGTTTAGTTGTTCTGATTTTCTTTTGTTGCATAAATCTTTTGCAGTTTTCTTGTGCCTATTAGGTAAACAATAACGAGAGGTGCATGAAAGTTCAGGGGACTTCGGCCAGACATTGTCCGATTGGCGGATGCTGTTATGAATGCCGCTCGCAAGGTAAGCATATGGGAGTGCTGGTGGCAGTAGCCACAGCTTGTAATCGCCTATCTTAGCTCCAATTATTGGCAAAGGCAAGTGTGCTCTATATCGGCGGTCGTTAATGGAACTGGAACTGGAGCTAAACTCTCAGGCGAACAATGAGGAACCAACAATGTTGGATGGCAATTAGATTTAAATATGAATCGCTACCGTCCGTCGCAAATGAATATCTAACGAGTTTAATTGGAGCGATAATCACAACAACAGTGGGCCAGAGAACGGAGACGATGGCAACAACAAAAACAAAAACAAAAAAAAACGAAAAACGTGTAAATAAGTAATAGTTAGAGCGTTAATTAGTCAGAACGCGCTTATAACAAACATTAACTTAATAAGCATCCAGAAGAACTCGCTCCGTGATGTCATGTTTGCCATAGTGCTCCACAAGGGAAAGCACATTACGTATACGCACTGCAGGCACAGCACTGCAATCGCTATTGAAATTAGTTAACCGCCTGACCCCAAATTAAACAGCAATGGGAAGTCGGGCAGCGCACTTAATACCTCATCGGGTCGCGTATCGCAATCAGCGTCGCCGACTAAGCCAACAGTTATTAAACAATAATCAAAATAGTATAATTAATGACACAGTGCCGCAACTCTGACGCCAGCGAAGGCGGAAGGAGGAGTGCAGCTAGGCTGTGAGCACATAAATCAGAGAATTGATTTCAGGTGGGGCAGGCGGCAGGCAGGAGGCAGCAGGCACTAATCCTGCTTATCGAAAATTTGTCATTTATTCAGTTATTCCCATAATTCTGCTCCTGATAGCCCCGTTGTTTCCAGATATCTCGTTAGCCAACTGTCACCATTTGTTAGCGCCCGCCAATCTCCGTTCGCATTTGCTTTTGCATACCGCCCACCCATCACTCCGAACTTGAACTCGGATTGCCACTACGACTCTCTCTCTCTCTCTCTCCCACTCCAACACCCACTCCCACTCCCACTCCCGGTGGCTCTTCCGTTCCAGCTGCTGCAAAAGTTCAAGCACAGCAGCAGCAATGGCAGCAGCCACATAATTAGCCTGCATATGAAAACATTTTAGAGGTTTCGCCCCGGTGTTCGTTTCGTTTCGAATCGTTTTGCCAACTTCCGTTCGCTTCTGGTCGGGATCTCGACGAGGGTGGCCGTGATAAGCCGGGCACATCCTCCAGCCAGCGACTCCTATAAATACCTGTTGCCAATGGCTTTTGGCCAACACTTATTCACGGTCGCGTCCGCTGATTACACAGTCCGCCAAACAATAGCATTGTGATATCGTTTGCGTTCCCAAATACTCAAATTCCCCCATCGGACTAGGTAAGTGCCTCGAAACCGAACAATCCCAAGGCTCACTTCACCGTAAACCACTTAGGTTAGTTCGTTTTATGCAAGTAAATCACGCAAATGCACATTTTTAGAACTATTACGTGTGCTCATTAGCCCCGTTGGGTCGTTAACCAATGATTCATATCCGCATCCTTTCGTTTGGGCCCTAACTAGAAGCTAACTGCCTTATAATACTCGTAATTATCGGCTTTATTTGCATTTAGCTGGGCGCAAGCATTAACAACTTGCGTCAGTCCCGCCCAAAAATCATTGAGTACCGATCACAAACGACGGCAGTCGACAGCTTGTTGATCTTTAGCCGAGTTTTACCTGATTAGCATACTCGATTGCCAGCTATTAACTGAGGCCCTCCAAGAGCTAGACCCCTAAATCTAACATAGTAGGTCCCCGAGATTTACGAGATCTAAATTGCTTAATATCAGTAGTTAGTTCTAAGAATTTTCTCTACCCTGGAAACGATTAGTCCGTATGGAAAAACACCATATAAATTATATATAAACATCGTTACTTTCACTTTGCCAGACTGAAAGAATTTTTAGTTAACAATTAATATATATTTTTTTTTAGTACCCATACTAAAGCTAATGAGCTAAAAAGATACACAAATAATAATAAAACTTGGAATGTATTCAATGATTAGCGACTGCTAATTTTTGACGACCTTCCCTAACTCCAGCAAATAGTGTAATATAGGTACTTTTAATTAATTTTGATTTAAAATTTAAAGTTTTTTGTTTAATAAATGCGATTTAATCAAAAATATGATAGATGAATATAGCAACTTAGTAAAACATTAGGGTTTTAATTAAAATATGGCAAACTAGAAACGTGATTGCAACTCAATCTGAACTTTTGAAATTGATGATTTTTCAACATATTTTTGCAGAACTATGTGCCAAACAATGCGTTGCATTCTGATTGTCTGCGTGGCCCTTGCTCTCCTTGCCGCCGGCTGCCGCGTGGAGGCCTCGAACTCCCGACCTCCGCGGAAGAACGATGTCAACACCATGGCCGATGCCTATAAGTTCCTGCAGGATCTCGACACCTACTACGGGGACAGGGCCCGGGTTCGATTCGGAAAGCGGGGGGCCCTGATGGACATGCTGAGGAATCGCGAACTGGACAACTTTAATCTGGGAAAGAATGCCAACAACGGCGGAGAATTGGTAACCAGAGATGACTCGCCCAACGACGGAGTAATATAGTTTTATCCTGCAGGTCCGCGCTTTGGATGAGGAGGAGGTGTACTAAACCCACCCTTGGCAACCATGGCAACGTTCTTAACTCATGATTATAGTTATTAGCATACGCATTATTGTTTAGAATGTTTCTCGGGGCAATAGTTTAACGTGTTGGGAGAGGATTTGTAGTTGCAGCTACAGAATTAAGGAGTTATTCTAGCCTTGATGTTTGTTGAATAAATGAAATACCCAAATAAACGTCTTCGTGATGTTTAAACTTAAATAAAGAGTGCAATGATCAAATTGTGGTTTTTATTTTCTACAGATTCGAAATGACGAACTATATTGTTGTCCAAAAGTCCGATCAGATTATTAAAATTTGGCGATCCCTTAAGCTTTTATCTGCGATAACCCGTCCCAAGTCCGATCATTAAGTTTTCTACTTTAAGTATACTACGGCCAGACGCTTTTATAGATACTAAAGACTTGTTTTTGCTGCATAATTTCGGGATTATTTTTATACCTCAAAAAAGTTATATTTGAACAAGTTGTTGTTAGGTTTGCTTTATTGTTTTTAACGAGTTTTATATCATTTCGGAAATAATTATAAATAAATTACAAGAAAATTATACTTCATTAAGGTTGCGACTGATACGTTAAAAATGATGTTAATAGACCCCAAATAACAATTTTCATAATATTCAGTAATTTATAGAATAAGGCTTGAAACTTTATCTATGTTAATATAATTTTTTGACCATAGAGCTGCACGAGAAACACTGTGGTTTAGTTTAATGATTTTTTGCACTCCCTGCATCAAATTGGGGAAGGCTTATAACACCAATAATATTAAATAAAAAGCTTTACTTACCTTAGTTTATCTGAAACAAGACGAAATTACAATTTGAGACAAAAATATCCAAATTTATAATGGCAAATAACCCTCCATGCAAGCGGCAACTGTGAAAGAAAAATAGGATATGAAAAATGTGAATTTGCGGGAATCACTAATATGGGTTCTTACACAGAGGTAGGATGGCTATTGCCAGCAGGAAGAGTTCGCAGTTGTCCTGGATGCTGGAGCCCACCAAGATAGTGCCAACGGCCGCACCACAACGGCCCCACATGAGGCTGATGCACAGTGCCTTGCCACGGATGTAGGTGGGTACAAAGCCAAGCAGGGAACCGCCGAGCAGGCCAACCGTAACGCCGGGAAATGCGACTAGGAACACCAACGAAAAGAGTTGGATTGTGTAGTTGGTGACAAAGATGAGGAGAAAACCACATGTCGATGCGGCCACCAGAGAGAAGACGAACATCACCTTCTTGCGCACGCAAAAGAGCGACAGCCAGCAAAGATTGTACAGCACGATATAGACAGCTCCCAGGATAAAGGAGTCATTGAAGCCCAGAAAAGAGTCGTTGCAGACCTGGCCGGGAAGAAATGAAAAAAAAAAAATAAGACAGGCAAAACTTAACACAGAGCACGGCTTACCGCCTCCAGGTCACTTTCACTTTCCACAATTGGCCCTATATCGGGTACGAAGAGTATGCGACAAAAGGTCATGCCTTTCGTGTTGCCCTGCCGCATGTTGCATCGATTTCGCATGGCAGTGTACCAAATGCCCAGTCCATTCGCCCTGCGGACTCGTGGATTAAGTAAAGCGGAAGCCCCAAGGCAGCCAGCACACTCACAACAGACCGAGCACGAACATAACCAAGCAGGCGCAGACGAAGGAGCCGACGAAGGGCTTCCGGAACAGTGGCATCGCATCGTTGAGCATCGAGAGCAGGAAGTTGTGCTTGCTCTTACGCCGCTTCACCTCGACGTGGTCCTGGTAGATGCGCAGGTGCTCTTTCTGCTCGTCGCTCAGAGGATGCCCGGTGTTCTTGCGGGATATCCACTCCATTGTGGCCAAGCCCCTCTGCGTATCGCCGATCATCAACAGAAACTTGGGGCTCTCCGGCAAGTGCAGCAGCAGAAAGAAGGCGACCACGCCCGGAATGATGTTCAAACATCCCAAAGCGCGCCAAGGTCTCAGCGTCAGGGAGCCCAGTACTTCCACCTCAAACTCTATAAGGCCCGAACTCAGGAACAGGCTGGCCCAGCCGGGACAGTAGATCATGGCGAAGCCGGTGAACATGTACATGTGGGTGATGGTGCGGATCAAGATTCGGTGCGAGCAGAACTCGCTCAGGTAGGTGGCGGCCACGAAGCTGGGACCGGCCACACTGATCCAAAGGGAGATCAAGATTGGGTACAGGATGGGATCGTTTGTTATGGACGCTTAAAATCGTAGGGGAAATACTGTGCATTTTTTTGTCTTTTTCACAGCTTAGACGTTTTTACAAAAATCTCTAGAGATTTATGAAAAATATTTTAAAATGTAAGAGAGTTCCTCAAACTAGCATTATTCCTAGCAAAGTCGGTATCGCAAGAGTTTATTTTCAAGGTGCAGGTACTTGATTCATTGTAATTAGAGATACTCATCAGTTTAGCTATGTATTATAATGTAAAATGTAAATATGCAATATAATTTAAGTCCTACTAACCACAAAGCTATTTACAAAACCCTGCTTTTATGTTTAGGCTGAATTCCCCTACGATTTGTGGTCTCAAGATGTACATACATCACCGCGTGGTACTTACAAAATGCAGGTGATAAAGCGCGCCACAAAGAAGCCGGTGAAGCTGATTACGAACATGGACAAGATGGAACACAAATTGCTCAGCATGATGGTACGCAGCAGGGTCCAGCGCCGGCCCTTCTTGTCGGTGACGTAGCCCCAGAAATAGGAGGAGCAGATGATGCCCATGAATCCGGCCGCCGTCAACGAGGCCAACTGCGCCTGGTTCATGACCAGATCGCAGACGGATGCCGGACCGATGATGCCCATGCCCATTGTTTCGTGGATGGTGAGCATTTGCAGTAGACCGAGTGTGAGGGTAGCGAAAACATGCACCTTCCCAAAACCTAAGCGGGCGATGGGCTGTGGTTGTGGAAGCAAATTGACATTTAGGCACTTAGACATTTACCAATCTCATCCATCACCAAGTCAAAGTGCTCCATCTTCTGTGTTCAGTAATACGTGAAATTAGCAGTTTTTGGTTTTAAGTATGTGTTGTCGGTGTGGGGTTTGTTTCGTTTATTTTGACTATTATCGCAGGGCCTAGACCAACTGGATGTTTTCCACCTCCTTGATCAGATCCATGTGCTTGAACTCGTCCGGTTTGCGGGTGAAGGTCTCCAGCAGGCGCAGCTTGCCCTCGTCGGGCTTCAGGTAGAACATCTGCAGCTCGTTGGCCAGGCACTGAGCCTCCTGGGCCGTGAGCACCTTGCTGTCGTACTCGCCGCGCATCAGGACCACGCCCTTGTCCTGGACCTCGGTGTAGTGCACCATTGTTAGGCACTCGGGGGCGTTCTCGTGGTGCACCTGGTAGGCCAGCAACGGGGTGAAGTGCACCGTGTTGGCCGCGAACTGCAGCATGACAAACTCGAAACCCTCGCTGCGGGGCAGTGGGATGAGGAAAACGGGGTGCTCCTTGGCCCTGGCCATCAGGGTCTCGTACTGAGCGGTGGTGAGGGTGGCGGCCAGGACCTCCTTGGTCTTGTGGTACTCCAGCCAGATCTGAGAGACCTCCTCGGCGCTCTTGTCGGCAATCAGCTCCAGCTTCATGATGTCGGTGAGCTTCTTGTGCGGCAGTTCAGCCTGCTCCTTCTGGGCCTGCAACTTTTGCTTGGGATTCAGCAGCTCGGAGTAGGACCTGAAATCCGGTTGGGGGTTAGCTCACTTTGCGGACAACGAACTGGGGACTCACCTGGCCTGACTCTGGCCATCCTTGATGGGATTCACCACACGCTCCACGCGATCCAGGAACTCCTCCGCCGACGTCTGCTGCAGCTGGGCAATCTTGGACGCGTACTTGGAGTAGTAGGGATTGCTCTCCTTCAGCTTCTCGATGGCCTCCTCGGCGCGGCGCGTGGCGGACATGGTGATGGTACGATGGACTGACAAGGAGTTATTCGGGAAAACGCGAAATAACAATTTTCGGGCGCATGCCATTTCCGCACTCAAAAATTATACAACTAAACAGCTGTTCAGAGTAGTTGTCACATCAAATGCTGAAAACAACCTTTTTTCGTTGGTCTGGCAACGCTGTCAAGTGGGAAGTTTAGTAGGGGCATTCCCAATGATTATTTACATTTGCCTAACGGCTGCCGTATGTTTTTACTTTTATAAATATTAAACAGAATGGCAAACAAGACAGTGAAACCAAGATTCTACTACATTTTAATTTTGATCGTCTTAGAAACTTAACTACTAATATGATGACAATATTTGAAGGTATAAAAGATTTTGGTTATTATTAATTAGCGAGGCTCCTTCTAAAAAACATTTTATTTTCAGGGTATTATATATTTAAACGTATGACTTGGTAAATCGTTGAATATTGGCAAGCCTTGAGTTTGCTCTTTCATACGTTTTCATTTTTTAGAAATCACAGCATCGCGGTTTTTTAGATCATCAGAGTTATGTAGTTTTAACTTGCCACCTTTTCCACACTAGTGAACGCACCTTTTAAGTGTTGCCACTGCTTGAATTTTTTTATCTTGCTCAACAATGGGTAAATTAAGTTAAAAACCCTTATGACTCACACTTTCGTTTTCGCACTACCCAAAAAGTTTTGGAATAGAAGTAGTCCCTTCAAATAACATTCCCCATTCGTCAAAGGCTTGCTTAATAAAAATGAATGATTCAATGTGTCAACGCATTTGCTAGTTCATTTTTATGTTCTTACACCACAATAATATAGTTTACAGAGTTTGATGTACTTTAATATGTTGCATTTTAAACAGAAAAAACGAAATAAAACACACATTTTCATTTCACACTGATTTTTAAATTAAAAAAATTGTGAGTATAGACGAAAAATTCCACACTCACACTGTAGAACGATTGTACAATGCTTAAAAAGCTTTTCCCGATATCCACATCTCAATCTGCCCATACTGCTTAGAGGTCTTTAGAGATTGCAAATAACTTGTTTCGACAAGAAGCGATACAATTAACAAAGTTAATGAACATGTAATAAACTTAGGTATGCGCAATTATTTGCTTACCCATGCTGAGTGCCAATTACACTAATAATTATATAGGTAGCCATAAAAAAATACTTGTTTGAATTTCATTTACTTATTTATAAGCCGTACTTGGACCTTCTTGAGCACATTTGGTTGGCAAATCAGCTATACTCGAATCGTAGAAAAAACACAACAGGGATGCAGTAATTTCAAGAAGTTAGACTTTATACTTAGAGTTGTATCCACTCCACTCATATCTTCAAGCAGTACTGTTAAGCGAAACTAAAATTGAAAATTAAATTCAGAAGCTCTATAATATTATTCGTAATTACGGTCCCTGGGTCTTGAGTTCAGCGAACGAGCGCAAATGTTGTATAAATATCCGCAGCGAATTCAAGGTGATTTACATTAAAGCTGTTCTTTGACAAACACGAAGTCAACGTTTGCTCAATCGCATGGACTCTTAGCTGCACCTCAGAAGTGTAAACATTACTTTTGGATTTAACTAGGTGAAATGGAAACCGATATTCAGAAATGTTTCAGAAGCAAAACGGTTTTTTTAACTGGTGCCACAGGCTTCCTGGGAAAAGGTATTTCCACTGATATAGAATAATGCGTTAAGTTTCAAAAGTTACTCAGACTTGGCTTCGTTTTGCGTTTCAGTCATTCTCGAGAAGCTTTTGCGAACCACAGAAGTGAAACGTGTCTATATCTTGGTCAGACCAAAGCGTGGAGTTGAGATTCAGGAGCGGATTATCACATGGTCAAAGGACGCGGTAAGTGAAATAGAACAGGATCCCTTAAACAAGAATTCACTCTACAAATTCCGAATAGGTATTTGAATTGCTGCACAAGTCGAAGCCGGAGGCCCTGCAAAGGGTTTGGCCTATCGCAGGGGATTGCCAGGAGTCCGATTTGGGAATCAGTGAGACTGACCGAAGGCTTTTGGCCTCGGAGGTGCAGATCGTCATCCATGGAGCTGCCACTGTGAGATTTAACGAACCGCTTCATGTGGCCTTGGCCATCAACACCCGTGCAACGAGGCTCATGCTCCAACTGGGTAGAGAAATGGGACAACTGGAGGCCTTTGTTCACATCTCCACTGCCTTCTCCAACTGCGTTATCCATGACATCAAGGAGAGTTTCTATCCCGAGCACCTCAACTGCAGTTCGGAAAAGGTTCTGGGCATGAGTGGGCTGGTGAGTGACGAACTGCTGGACAACATGGAGTCTGCTCTGCTTGGTTCTTTTCCCAACACCTACACCTATACCAAAGCTTTGGCCGAGGATGTGATCCTGAATGAATCGGTCGGCTTACCCCTTTGCATCTTTCGACCGGCAGTCAGTAAGTAATCTCTCAAACTCCTTCGCTCTGTGTCAATGGTTTCTCTACAATCCAGTCATTGCGGCCCACAAGGAACCCATCTCCGGCTGGGTTGACAACATGTACGGACCGATGGCCATTCTATTCGGGGTGGCTCGCGGGGTCCTTCGCATCGCCACGATCGACAACAAAGCCGAAGCGAGCCTGGTGCCTGTGGACTACTGTGCCAATCTGGCTGTGGCCAGCGCTTGGAAAACCATCGAGGATTGCGGGAAGAGCAAGTCGCCGGCGAGCCCTCTCATCTATCAATTGGCGCCCAACGAGAAGAACAAAATAACCCACGGAGAGTTCATTCGTCATGCTCTCGATGGACGCAATAATTGCCCGCTGACGAAAATGATATGGTATCCCTTCATCCACTGCATCACAGTGCCGTGGCTTTATCCTCTGGCAGCCTTTTTCTATCACACCCTGCCAGCCTATTTCTTCGACCTGGCTCTTTGGCTGAGTGGCCGGAAACCGAGACTGGTGAAGGTGTACCAGAAGATACACAAGACCATCAGCATCCTGGGTCCTTTCAGCTGCAAGTCCTGGCGCTTCGACATGCACAATACAGATCGACTGAGGCAGGCAATGTCGGAGGAGGATCGCCGGTTGTACTACTTTGACATGGTCAGCCTCAACTGGAAGGAGTACTTTCTTCACGCCCTTCGCGGCATGAGACAATTTCTGGGAAACGAGGCGCCCACCCCAGAGTCCATAGCTCAAGGCATGAAGCTGATACAGAGGTACTTACCCAAAAATATATCTTTTCCTTAATCCGTACAATATTTCTATAACTTATTATAGGCTGAAGCTGCTCCATCACTTACTACAGATCTTCCTCTGTTTAGTGGCCGGATTTGCTGTGTGGTCGCTGGTCAAGCTCGTAGTGTGATTCAGATACAAGTCACTCACCGATTTAAATTTATACACTTAATATACTTTAAAAGCCTTTAAGTGCGTCACTGAACAAAAATATATGCAATTTGTGTAACACGTGCCTTTTATTTTGATGGATATTTAAAAGGGTTTCAACCCGTTACATGACGAATTATTAATTCGGTCTGATTTGACCGAAGAGTTGTTTAGATATTGTTTAAGATATTAAATCAAACAGAATCATTCTGATGGGTATGTAGTTTTCCACAACAGATAACGCGTTGGATTCTATTGCTTGCAGCGCATAGAACTGCTGGCTCCATTTATTGGTTAACAAAGTAGCGAGTATCCCGGGGCACTCAACTATAAGTTTTTCGACCGTTTTAATGTCTTTAATATAAAAAATATAATTTATATCTCGAGATCTGGTGAATCGTTTTCTTAGCTGCCTTAACATGGATTGTTACACCTACAAATGGTAGCAATATAAAAATAGATAATTGACTCTTGCCTCAGGCGAATAACTTATTTAACGCCTTAAAAACTAATGGTTACATAAAGAACAAAGTCAAACTTTCACCTCTAAAATATAAAATATAAAGGAAATAGCCCGCACAAGCCGCGACTACTCGAGTACTAGGTTACTAAATTCTTTAAGCGTGCAGGTCTTTATTGCCTACAAAAAGTACATCCGCAAACCTTATGTCACTGAATGAAATTATACTAAAATGCAAAGTCGTATTACACTTTTTCTGCTAATCATAAGCTTATTTCAATTCAGCGCTAGAGGTGGGAAAGCAAATCAAAGTCAAAAAATCTTAGGATTGGTCGAACCTTAATACTAACAAATACAGCTCATTTTCGACATAAATATCTTTTAGCTTCTAGAATCAGAAAAATAAAGTTTGCCGGCCGTTTATTTTATTTGTGTCATTTGTGTCCCCATTACACTTTTGTGTATAGGTATTTCCTATCCCATACGCAACAATACGAGCCCGTGCTCCTCTCTAATCCGGGAGTCCGTCGACTGCCTTGAATATGCTGAACTCGACCTTTGATGGGTGTAATTTATAGAGTCCCAAATAAATAGAAGTGCTAGTTTGGAATCACTTTTCAGTTCAGTGGCTCGCGAAGCGTGAAAGTATCTAAATCGGGGCAACATGGATTGCGGCATACAGGAATTCTTTAAAAACAAGACCATTTTCCTAACGGGTGGCACAGGATTTTTGGGAAAAGGTAACCCCCAGCAATGGAGTAAATATGTCAATACGACTTTATGGACCCTGATTTTCATTCTCAGTTATTACTGAGAAACTACTGCGGACAACGGAGGTGAATCGCATATACTCGCTGATCAGGCCGAAGCGGGGTAAGCCCATCCAAGAACGGATCTCAACCTGGGAAAAGGACCCGGTGAGTGATGGTTATGTTATATAATACAGATGTGAACCAATCCCTTGCATTCCGAAGGTGTTCGAGGTGCTCCTGCGGGCCAAGCCAGATGCTTTGCAGCGAGTGTGTCCCATTGCGGGCGATTGCCTGGCTCCGGATTTGGGGATAAGTGAGTCGGATCGAAGGCTCCTGGCCACCGAGGTGCAGGTTGTCATCCATGGAGCGGCCACCGTGCGGTTTGACGAGGCCCTGCACCTATCCCTGGCCATCAACGTGCGCGCCACCCGTCTGATGCTGCAGCTGGCCAAGCAGATGACCCGCCTGGTCTCCTTCGTCCACGTGTCCACTGCCTACTCCAACTGCGTGGTGACCGACATCGCCGAGCGGTTCTACCCGGAGCACTTGAAGTGCAGTTCGGACCAGATCCTGGCCCTCGGCGAGCTGATGAGCGATGAGATGCTGGACAAGATGAGCCCGGCTCTGGTTGGCTCGTTCCCCAACACCTATACCTACACCAAGGCTCTGGCCGAGGATGTGATCCTGAGGGAGGCAGACGCCCTGCCCTTGTGCATCTTCCGACCGGCGATCAGTAAGTGCTCCCGATTGGAATTGACATTCAAAGCTACAACCACAAATATTCCCAGTAATGTCCACCTACAAGGAGCCACTGCGTGGGTGGGTGGACAACCTATTCGGACCCCTGGCCCTGTGCTTCGGAGGAGCTCGGGGCATAATGCGTGTCACCACGGTGGACCCCAAGGCCAAGATTAGTATAGTCCCAGCCGACTTTTGTGTCAACGTTGCCCTGGCCTGTGCGTGGAAGACGGCGCAGTCTTCTGGCCATAAACAGAAGGCCAAAAAGCCCCCGATTTACACATTTGCGCCGAGCGAGAATAATCTGCTGACCTACGGCAACTTCATTAGGTCATCGGTTGCCTATCGCGACATCATTCCGCTGACCAAGATGCTGTGGTACCCGTTTGTCCTGTGCATCTCCACTCCGTCCCTGTTTCCGCTGGCTGCCTTTTTCTTCCACACTCTGCCGGGCTACTTCATCGATCTGCTGCTGCGCCTCAAGGGCCGCAAGCCCATCCTCGTCGATCTCTACCGGAAGATTCACAAGAACATTGCTGTCCTAGGCCCATTTTCCAGCACCACGTGGCACTTTGACACGGCCAACACGATGGCACTGCGGGATTCGATGACCAAGCAGGACCTCAGCGTGTACGACTTCGACATGTCACGTCTGGACTGGGACGACTTCTTCAAGTCCGCCATGTACGGAATGCGACTGTACATTGGAAAGGAGCTGCCCACCGCAGAGTCCATTGCCAAGGGGCTGAAGCTTAGATGGCGGTGAGTCTCAGCTGGGGATCTGCCTTCCACTTTGATTGTAACCCCATTCCTTGCAGCCTGAAGATCCTTCACTATGCATTCACATCCTCGCTGGTCTCTGCAGCTGGGTACGTCCTGTGGTCGCTGGCCAAACTGGTAGTTTAATTTGCCAAACGATGGCTTGTAACTGCTGCAATTTATTGTATCCGCATATTCCCATTGCTTTATTGTAAAACAAATACCTTCTAGGACTACAATAAAAATGTAAGTTACACCACCAAATATTCCTAATGGATAAATATAACTGCAGTTTTGGTTTTTTCAAAACTCAAACCTTATTATTCTGAAAATTTGAATTTTATCGGAGGTCGCTATTAGCCACACAAATTTTTCTTGGGCAATTCTAACAGTTTGTTTTTAAAAAAAGCCAACAATTATTTATCTTGCTTTATCGTTTTTGTCTCTTTTAAAAATGTTTACAATTGATTACAACACAATTGACGTTGACAATAACGAACAATTATAGTTCACAGAAATTTTAAAACTTATATGAACAAATTAAAATTGTTAACTCACCCTTTAACTGTGTTTTGGGACTGGGTTAATATGCAAATGTTGCCATAGTTATGATCTACCTTATGAGTACTTGACACAAATTACTGGCAATAAAAGGTACTGATTTAAGTTAAGACGGCATTCTTATTTATTTTCACAAAAAGTTGCTAAGAATGGCTAAAAATTATGTGAAAATTGCCAACAAAAAATGCCAAATCATTAAAATTTTTGTTCTAAATAAATGTGTATGACAGAAAAATGCCAAGAATTGCTAAAAGTGATGTGAAAATTGGCCAGTCATTAAAATTTTTGTTTTTAAACAAATATGTATAAAAGTTTCACATAATTTTTAAGAATTCTGCTTGAAAAACGTTTCTACTCCGTGTACCTCAACTGCAGTTGCAATAAGGTTCTGGCCATCATCAGTGCGCTGATGAGTGACTTTTTTGACTTCGACTCTCTATCACTCTGTACCGGTATATATATGTGATTGTGATCTGTGACAAGGGTCGGCAAGCGCGCTTCCATTAGACCTCTTGAAGAAGACCATGTCGGAAGAGGGCGATCAAAGGATGTGTTCCTTCGACATGGCTAGTCTCAACTGAAAAGAGTATTTCACCGGAAGTATCTAAATTCGTAACTTCGTCTTCTAGTATTCGAAGGTTTGAATCTGGAATCAAATTATTCTAAACGCTAGGTTGAACAGTGCTAAAAAGACATCAATACGTTATTAATTTTGAAATGAATTACAATAAGGTAAAACATTTATAATAACTGAAAAAAAAATCAAACATCAATTTATTATGCTGCAAGAATCCAGTATTTCAACGCTTATCCGGAACCGCGAAATGCAATGAAACCGTAGCTGTGACTATTCATAAGGTGTATTTGGTTTGCATACAATTGGCCGGGTCACTATACATATGACACCGCCTCCGTCGGCACAGCTTGTATATAAATAGCGCGACCATACCCAATTGATTTTCTATTAAAGTGTATTTTCAACTTGCAAGATTCGGGAGAAAAACGCAATATCCAATGCCAAAATGGACACCGGCATCCAAGCATTCTATAAGGACAAGGTGGTGTTCCTGACAGGTGCAACCGGATTTTTGGGAAAAGGTATATGTCGAGCGAATGGGTCTTGAAAAATAATACTCCATAATAACTCCGTCGTTTTTACAACACCACAGTATTAATTGAGAAACTTTTGCGAACTACGGATGTGAAACGAATATACTCCATGGTCAGGCCCAAACGGGGACAGGATATTCAGGAACGCATTGAGATGTGGCAAAAGGAGCCAGTGAGTAAAAAGTTAAGTTAACATAAAGATGAATGTTAATTTATAGTTTTACCCCTAAGCTCTTTGAAGTCCTGCTGAAGTCGAAGCCCGAGGCTCTGAAGCGGATCGCCACGATCGCAGGCGATTGTTTGGAGCCCGACCTCGGCATCAGTGAGTCGGACCGCCAGCTCCTGGCCTCCGAGGTCCAGATCGTACTCCATGGAGCCGCCACAGTGCGATTCAATGAGCCGCTTCATGTGGCTCTGGCCGTCAACACGCGGGCCACAAGACTGATGCTCCAGTTGGCCAAGGAGATGAAACACCTGGTGGCCTATTTGCACATCTCCACGGCGTTCTCCAACTGCGTGATCTTTCGAATCGAGGAGAAGTTCTATCCAGAGCACCTCACCTGCGATTCGGAAAAGGTCCTGGCCATGAGTGAGCTATTGGGTGACCAAATGATGGACAGTCTGACACCCACTCTGCTTGGATCCTACCCCAACACTTATACCTACACCAAGGCTCTGGCGGAGGACGTGATCCTTAGAGAAGCGGGCGACCTTCCTCTAAGTATCTTTCGACCATCAGTTAGTAAGTACATTGGCCAGACAAGCTGTACTTCTGATATATATATATATTTATATATTCCATTTAGTTATTGCCAGCCATAGAGAGCCAGTTGCCGGCTGGATGGACAATCTCTACGGACCCATAGCCCTAATTTATGGCGTGGCCCATGGAGTCCTGCGTGTGATCAGCATCAACAAAAATGGCTTTTCCAACTTGGTGCCGGTGGACTACTGTGCCAATGTGGCTTTGGCCAGTATCTGGCAAACATCCAAGGACAAAGCCGGACGGGATCCGATAAAACAGCCCGCCATTTACACTTTGGCACCCAATGAACGCAATCCACTGAGCAACACGGAGTTCGTTAACTTCTCTTTGAGCTGTCGAGAAGAGTTTCCGCTGGTTAAGATGATCTGGTACCCGTTTGTGCACTGCATCTCCACACCGTACCTGAATCCTCTAGCCGCGTTCTTCTATCACACTTTACCCGGCATTTTCTATGATCTGGCACTAAGAGTTTCGGGCAGAAAACCTCGTCTGGTGAAGCTTTACCGAAGTATTCACATCAACATTTCGCTTCTCACATACTTTTTGCACAACAGTTTTTACTTTGAGACCAAGAGCACGGATCGGTTAAGAGCTTTGATGTCTCCGGAGGATCAGCGAATATACAACTTCGATATGAAGGCTTTGGTCTGGAAAGAGTACTTCCATAAGGCCCTTTTTGGCATGCGACTTTACCTGGGTAAAGAACCTCCCACCCAGGAATCCATAGACCAGGGTCGGCGATTGTTAAGATTGTAAGTTCTAATTGAAAATATGTCAGATTTCCCAATGATTAATCCCTGCTTATATCATCAGATTGAAGATCTTGCACTTTGGCCTCATGACCATACTGTTGGGCATTGCCGGAATCGTTTTGTGGTCATTGATCAAATTAATAATTTAGTTTTAGTATAAGGGCTCACTGAAACAGTATATTAATAAACATCGGAGTTGCTCACTAAATCGAATGGCAAAAAACTGTTTTAGGAAATAAAACATCATTCGTAAATACTCAGTTGCAAACAACATGTTTCTCACTTCTAAAGCTAGTTATGTATATAGCTTAAAGTTTACAAAACTGCCATTGGAACGTTCGGAAAATGAAGTATATTAAAAAATAAACCTTTTAACGGCCAACCCTATCAATTCTAACTCCCTCAGAGACACCATCATTGTGGCGTGAATGGATATTTTTTGTGGTCCGAACACTCCTTTTATTTTATTAAACGCTATGGAAAAAAGTTTTAAAAGTTATCTGTATTAATTTTAAATTGTTACGCCAAAGTTTTAGTGTTGAAAAAAAACATAGTGACCATCATGGGTAGATTTTTTTTCGATTTTTGGGTAAACCCTCGTTGTTCTTAAACTTCCTAAAAAACGACATATATTTTACTAGTCATAATAAGATTGTGTTACATTTCTCTTTATTTCTTTCCTTTACGAAAACTAAATGTGAAAGAACAGCTTAGTAAAGAATAATTTTTTCTTACTAATTACATGTTTATTTAATCGCATTCTAAAATCCAGCAACAAAAAAATGTTGAACCGGAAAACAGAAAATTAAATCGATTCTGGAGTACGCGCATATGTATTATGCAACGAGCTACATGCACTTTGTTGACCTATTTATTTGCTTTCGTATGCACTGATTAAAAATGCATGTACCGTCTACTCAAAACCGCTTAAAACTACATCATTTGTTGATACGAAGCGCTTATACAGGCCAATGTCAAATCATTTCCTCTTTTAGGATGGAATTTATTTATATAAGCTTGTAATATTATATAATACTCAACCAGACTTTAAAATGATTTCTTTCGGGTTACACCTACTTTCATAATTTTAATTTTGAATTTTAAATTTTCATTTGTGGCTGCAGCGAGCAATTGACCGTTTTTATCATCGCCCGCAATAATATTTCTAATTTTTCAGTGCTGAAAAACGTCGCAAAGAGATTTAAGTCAGAATTTAAAAACAATTTGTACATTTCTCAATGAGTGGTGTTAAATATTAAGTGCATTTCAGCAGATGTTAAGAATTTTAACAGAGGGTGTGCAAGAAATGGAGTGGAACCAGGCTAAGTGTTCAAGTGGAGTGAGAAGTTAACAGTGGCAAGAAATTATCGTTAGAGACGGATGAACATCGATAACCTCTGCAAAAAATTTATAAGTCGGGTAATTTGGAAACATCGTTGACGTTGACCTCGGCATAGATGTTTCCACAGCTCTACCAGCTAAATGCTAGGAAAACGTCGAACTAACAGAGAAATGTTAAGAAAACGGTAAACTAACAGAAAGAGAAATAGAGAGCCAGGGATGGATAAACATCGATAGTACCTGCCAAACATCGATAGGACCGATGTTTTAAAAACATCGATTACGGTTATGTTGGAATCGCTGATTCCCCACCTCTACACCTATTTAAAAATCCAAACCGAACGGTTATCAAGCGCTCGCTCGCTCCAAGAAATTTCCGATCCTAAGTGGCAACGGCGCCAAGCAAACAAAACTCGAAGATTCAAATATTTTTTTCTGAACCAAAAAGTCGGATTTTCGGTGTTTGGTGATCGTGAATAAGAGAAAAGTTGAGCGTAAAGTGCCTCGTTAAGTAGTTTCAACTAGGCGAAAAAAGGAGCCCAAACGATTACAACGGCAACAACAACAAGCGATGGAAAGAAGCAGCGACTGTGAGCAGTGATCGTGCGTTGGTATTCACCTCTATACAAATGTGTGTGTGTGTTTGTGGCTGGAATGGAATGCAGTTACGAAAAAAATAAATAAATAATTGAGAGCGCGCCCGCGCTCTCCCGCTCTCCATCGCGCGCGTGTTTCTGTTTCTGTGTGTGTTTGTCTCCATTATCGGCGGAGTGAAAGAAAAGAAAGAAACGGAATTAAAATGTCTTTGCTAATGTAAACAGCGCAAAGAGAAACCCTCCGAAAAAAATAGGCAGAAGTAGATAGCAAAAAAAGAAAAAGCGCGCGTCCGGTGAAAAGTAAATAGTTTTCTCAGACTCCCAAAGTACAGAGAGAAAAATTAAGATGCCGAATCTGCAACAAACCGCTTCGCAATCGCAGCATCACCTGCATCCCCACCACCTGCGGCCCCACCAGCAACAACACACGCAGCAGCACCAGCAACAGCACCACCACCATCATCCACAACAGCAACAGCACCACAGCGATTTCCCACTTCCAGATGGTTGGGATATTGCCAAGGATTTCGACGGCAAGACCTACTACATAGACCACATCAACAAGAAGACCACTTGGTTGGATCCCAGAGATTGGTAAGTGACCCTAAAAGACGAATCTCAAATAGAAAAAACTTCAGAATAAAAGAGAGTTGAGTCCGTAAACAAATCTATATTTGGGGCATAGTTGGTTCGAAAACCGATTGCAATTTCTTTTGTAGGAAGTACCGGAAAACATTTGAAAACAAATTGATTTTAAGGAGGAAAAATAATTAAATCAATAACAAATTTCACATTTTTTCCTAAGTCTTGTAAATATCAAATTGTGAATTATTTTAGTTTCAAACATCCTAATAAGAATACAATTTTTTTTCAAAAACTTGTTAAAAATAATTGATTTATTTGTTTAACTGTAGCTTAAAATACGGCTTATAAAGTTTCTTGAGAACATTTTTACAAATTGCATGCTTATTGAAGTACATGTGAGAGAGCAGCTCGCTTATTCAGGAAGCTTGGGCAAACAAGCTGAAAAAAACCCATATAAATTCCGATTCCGAAGCGCTCTTGAACCGGAAAGAAAAGGTGCGTGCTGCAGCTGTGTGTGTAAAGGAATGCGATCGGTGGAGGCCAAAAAGAAACAAAAAGAGCTAAGAGGCAGCAGCGAAATAAATTACATATTTTAAACAAGGCAACACAACGGCAACAGGCAAAACAAAACGGAACGGAAAAAACTTGGAGTAAACATTCCGATTCGATGATTAAGACTCCAAATATAACTGAACTGAACTGAGAGTGGCAACAAACAAAAAATGAATTGTAAAGGCAAAAAATTAAAAAAAAAAAGACGGGGAAAACGAGAGAGCAAAAGTTAAATAAAGCTCGGCGAATGATCTGCAAAAAAAAGTAAACCAAAACCAACAAACTCATACGTAATGAGTGCGAGAGAGCCAGAAGAGAGCGGGCGCGCTGCGATCAGGCCATGTATCTCATAGATACATTTTAGTTTGCCGTTCGCTCACATTTTTTTGGTCTTGCCTCTCGCTCTTGCCCATAATAGTGCCTCACTCTCCATCTCTGTCGGTCGCTTTGCCCATAAACAATTGCAAAATGTACGTAGGAATTTAGCAGTTTCGAAATAATTGATTTCTGAAATTCTTCGCCCTCTCTCGCAGTTCAATCTTTCGATTTACACACAGAAAGAAAAATTGTTTGACATAATTTTGAAAATTGGATAATAATAAATCAAAATCAATTTTATCAAATGTCCGGAGAAACTTTTGCTTATAAATATCTTTCTGATAACTTTATTGCTAATTAAACGCCGCAAAAAGATATTTTTGCCTTTCAAACTCTTTAACCTTGTCCTAAACTTAAATTGATTTTTATATTGTGTCAATTTTTCTCTCTGTACATTTGTATCTGTGTGCCGTATTATTTCAGTTCGTGTGGGGCTGTGTGCGCTTCACGCTTTCAATTAACACAAACATTCCCTTTGTTTGTTTCAAATTGCATGGACATTGTTGAAAATGTTTCACTGAATTAAGCGTGGTGGAATTTCAGCATTTCTCCCTGTCCCCTTTGCTCGCCTTTAAAAATGAAACGAAACATCTGCGCATTTGCTAGGGTTATGCATCAAGTAGATTATATATGCACACATGTCGTAGGAATGTCTGCCAGTGGGCAACAAAGCAACGATCTATGTGCGTTCCGATTTCAGGGTTACAGACGTTTGAAATCTGAAGGATTTTCAGGGATTTAATTGCGTCGTCATATGTATTTCTTTTGACCCATTTTTTATATTATGTGTTTAGATAAATGACTCTTCGAAAACCCATTAAAGATGAAAATTTATATGTCTAATAACTCCTTTAATGGAAGTAAGGACTTGATTATATTGAAAAATTACACCCATTCTTAGTAGTTAATGAGACTCGAAATTTTCAAAGAAAATAGTTAGAAAATTGTTCGTTAGTAACATATTTCAGCATTTTCCTTGCTATCTTTAAGAGTTTGTAACATCTAGTCCAATATACTTCCTGAATTGGTTCCACATTTTCAACATGATTTCACCATTCGCTTTAAACAAACAAAAATGTTTAAAGTTACACCCCTTATGGGTATTTTGCAAGTCGCGCATATTTTTCAACCAAATTTATTTACGCTTTTCGCCATACGAATCGCATACCCTCCATGTCCATCGATCTCTCCGTTGCCAACACGAGTTGCTATTGAATTTTAAAAATTGCTGCCGGTAGCGAGCAAAAATTCCAATAAACCATAAATAAATTTCTACAATAAAGCGAAGCGAGCCAGGCCTCGGGCGGCCTTTAAAGGCCTCGCCAACAGAAATCACAGAAAAAATAAATATCTATTCCAATACGCGTAAGCAAGGTCGAATTATCGATACCCTTGAAATTCAACCTATAATTGCTTGGGCCGGCTGCAGCCCACATATTCTAATGTTTTTCTAAAATTAAACGAAATGTTTGCACAACTTATCTAGTTAAATAATATTTAATGTATTACATTTAAAGGCTTTTCTGAGCTGAAAATAAAAGTCATTATAATAGTTAAAAGCTTAAAAACCAGTGTATAAAACCTCATTGATCGGAGACTATTGTGACTCTGAATAATTTATTTCTCTCAAAGGATTCAAAACTCATGACAAAGCCCATGGAATTTCCTTTGCACAGCGTATTGGACTTAATAAATGTTTCACTTGTTTGTAAAGCATTTCGACAGGCGGTATTTTTTGTGATTTTCGTTGATGTTGCCTCTCTTTTTTTTTTTTTTTTTTGTATAAACAAAAGTTAACAACGACTTGTCTTGACCATGCGATTTGGCATTTTTTTGCCGCCGTCTTCTTCTTTATTTTCTCATTTTTTCACCAGTTTTTGGCGATTTGTTTAGCCACAAACAAGGCGGCGACACAGTGGAACATTTTTGT